GGAGTCATGCTAGTTGGTAGCCCTTGCAGCTGAATCTGGGACTGAAGCACCATTTTTCTGACCAGAGGAACTGGAAAAATGAAATCCAGTGAGCTGTAGAGTATGAAAGAAATATTGCAGAACGAGGAGTTGGAGAAGTAAATCTCCTAATTCTATGGACAACCCAAGCAGGCCTGGAAGACAGCTCTGTGCTACATATGCATGAGGCAGACCAAAGCAGCACAGGGAAGGCTCTGAGAATCCATTGAGACAGAAACCACTACTGGAAGAGGAAATATGTGCACTCTGAGTCTAACTGACTCAGACTAAATCAAAGCAACAATCAAGATTCTCTGGAGGGCTTTTACAGAACACGGTCAAATGCACAACACAGCATTTGCACTGGCCAAAAGTACTTAACATGCAAAGAAGCAGAAAAATGGGACCAAATTTAAAGGAAAAGACAATCATCAGATGCTAATTCAGAAATGATCTAGAAGTTGAAAGTATCAAAAACTTCAAGGTAGCTATTCCTATCTTGCATAACCTAAAGTTGGAGTTGGGTTTCCATACTTGAAAATAATGGAAAGAAAAAAGTTACCACAGAAATAGAAACCAAGAAAAAAAAAAAAAAAAAGGAAATTTTAAAATATCTAAAATTTTTAAAATTCTTGAATAGCCTAAATAGAACTTGAAGATAGATCAAGAGAAATTTTCTAATCTGACACAGGAGAAAAATTTAAGCAGATAAAATGAACAGCTCTCAGGCCTTGTGATAGTAAGTGCAATGGTGATTAATATCCCAGAAAGAAAGGAGAAAGAATGAAGAAATTATGACTGAAAAGTCCAACTAGGTGGAAAACATAGATTTACGGATTCATAAAGCTAGGACAGTCCAAAATAGGATAAACTGAAAGCAAACCATACCGAGACTCATGATAATTAGACTATTGAAAAACAAAGATAAAGAAAAAATATTGAAGATAGCTAGAGAAACAGCACAATGTATATAGGGGAGCAGCGGTTTGGAACACTCTTGATTTGTCATCAGAATCCATGCAGACCAGAAGACAGTAGCACAATATTTTTAAAGTATTAAAAGAAAAGAACTGTTGATAGAGAATTCTATATCCAGTAAAATACTTTCTTTGTAAGTGAAGGTGAAATAAACACATTATCAGATACAGAGAAAACAGAATTCATAAACAGATTTACTCTAAAAGAAACATTAAAGGAAGTTCTGCAGGGAAACGATGCCAGAAAAGCTTATATCTTCAGGAAGGAAGGAAGAGCAGCAGATATGGTAAATATTTGGATAAATATAAGCATGTTTCTCCTCAGAAAGCCTTTGAAGGATGTGTGTCTATTGAAAGCAAAATTATAACACTGTTTAGTGAGTTTTCAATGTGTACATAATTTATATATTCACCAACTAGAGTGTGAAGGGGACTGACTATACATCTGAGATAAATCTACAGAGATCAGTATGTTTCTGAGTTTTCTGCACTTTACACAGTGATAAATACTTTAACTAGAATGTAGAAGAGTAACATGTATGTTATAATTTTTAGAGCAACCACTAAATATAATACAAAAAGAAATAGTAAAGAAAGTAGATAAATTAATATGGAATGCTAAAATTTTTCAAATAACGCCCCCCAAAGAATTAAAGGGAAACAAAAATAGAAGAAACAAACATAAAATACATAGTAAAATGGTAGAGATCTAAATCCAGCCACATCAATAATTACATTAACTGTAAGTAATCGGAATGTATCCATTGAAAGACAGAGATTGTCAAACTGAATATTCTTTTAAAATCTGTCTTTCAGGGGCTGGGGATTTAGCTCAGCGGCAAAAGCGCCTGCCTGGCAAGCGCAAGGTCGTGAGTTTGGTTCCCAGTACCAGAGAAAAACCAAAAATAAAATAAAATAAAATAAAATAAAATAAAATAAAATAAAATCTGTCTTTCCTATGTACTAGTTAGAAGACCCAAAAGTTACTTAATCTTTCTGATCCATAGCTTCTTTACAGTGTAGGGAAATAATAAAATCTATCGTGAATGGCTTTTATGCAGATAAAATGAGGTACTGCCGGTCACATGCATAGTGCATTTCAAGTGTTTAATAAACAATTTCAACAGTCTACTAATGCTTATTAAGTTACTAAGTTTGTTTGCAAGTCCTTTATTAATTTAGCCTTGCAGTCTTTTGCTTTTGAGAAAAGTGCTAACGAGAAATGTTCACAAAAAAGTAAAAATATGTCTTTCCTCAAAACATGATTTTTCTTATGTCACTTGGAATGTTACATAAAATTACTCTTTATCTTTATCATGTAGTATCACTAAATACTTATAATGTTTTAGCATCATGAATTGGTAAACTGTATAGATTAAAGCCCTACTTACACATCTTCCATCAATTCTAACCATCTATTTAGTCAAGCTCTTTCTACGCTCATCGAAATGATTTCTGCTTACAATAATGTATTTTACTATAATCTTCTTTGCTTCCCACAGCATATTTGAATTTCAGACTATTAAATGTCAAAGCAAAGACTCAGACCCCTCAAGTTCTGCCCTTGCTGATTTACATAATTAAGGCATCCACTAATGAGTGCACGTTCCCCACCAGAAGGTGCAACTTTGATCCAGTCTCTTTGTGGAGAAGGTAGGCTGCTGGATTCTGGCCAGGGCAGAGACAGAGACACACAGAGTAACAGTGTCTTTAAGACACCATGCCAAGGTGCCGAAGAGGGCAGGGACCTGAGATCCATCAGTGGTTGTCAGATTTCCTCAGTGAATATTGTTCTGGGATAAAAATACAGAGAAGTACTCATTCATAAGTCAGGGACTTACTGTATCACACAGAGTAAATAGTACATCGGAAACAGTGACATTCTGTGTTATTTGGGCAAATGACACACCCACCTCTCTCAGCAACATACTTCTTCACATTGTACCAGTTAAAACTGATCATCACATAAGCAAAAAAAAAAAAAAAAAAAAATACAGAGAATTTCTTCTCAGCGAATATATATTGAGAATGCAGCAGGTGCAGGGCACAGAGCCGGTAGCCAGGAATAGTGAGATGAATCAACAAGACTGTCTCCTTCAGATGCCTGACAGTCTGGTGGAGCTGGAAGCTAGCCATTGCTCTGACCACAGAACACTTCTGTGATCCTTGCTCTGTTTGTGCCCTCTGGAGACCTCGACACCCAGGGACCACGTTCCTATAAACCTCAGTTGTCCCAGAGATTAGTCAGGAGAATTTGCATGCTGAGAACCTGTTCTTTTCCTCAGTCAACAACTTGCACACAGGGAGGTCTGGGAGTTGGTTTTTCCCGGTGTTGTTTGCAGTGTCACTTACCATTTATGTCGCCTGTCATAAGAGCCATTATACTATTTGCTTAAGTATTTAAATCAAGCCCTTTACTTAAAGCTAGTGGTTGCTGAGCTTTAATTAAAGCATATTTGCATACATTAATATCACCCAGCTTCCCCACATTCTAACTGCATTTTTGCATTAAAAACATGACATTTCATTAACAATAGTTGTCAGTGCCTAGGCTCTTATTTATGTCACAATTACAGGTCCTGTTAATTATAGCCCTGCCTAGTTTCTCCAGCTCCTCTGACAGAGCATGTGCAGCCATGGCTTCCAATTCTTCAGTGGGTGCATTTTGGCCTCTAAAGAGCAGCTTCACCAGGCTGCAGAAGATGTAAAGATGCCCAGTTCCCTTCATCTCCAGCCCTGCTGGCACTCTGGACTTCCGAAGTCAAGAGGAGCACATGCGGCTTTTATATCTCAGACTATTGGACCTAGAAGCTCCTGGCTAGATTCCCAGTCTTTCCTGGGGGTTGGTCTAGAGCATATAAAGTTGAGGACCAACATGAACTCTGATCCAGGCTGGAATCTTCTCTGAGGCTGAAGTAGTTGAGAGAAAAAAGTAACTTTGGTAGCTGTGAGTTGCAGATGAAAGCAAGATAGGAAGTTGCTACCTCTGGAGCGTGGTAGACAGTTACTGGAAGTGAAGAGCTGCCAGCTAGTGAATGTTAATAATGAACTGGATGCTTTAAAACACAAAGGACCCAACTGGTCACCTGGTTAATTACTCCTCCTGCTTCAGGATTTGTTCCAGGTCTCCCATCCCTAGTGAAGCCGTCACTCATTCTCTTCCCTTTTGTACTAGCTCTGTTAGGACGCTAACCACTAGTGATTACATTTTTCTCTTTCCAAATAGACTATGAATCCCTGAGGGAAAGGACCATAGTTAAACCACAACACCAGGCCTCCGGGGTCTGAACTGGAGCCAGCAATCAGGTAAGGCAAATTTTAGGAAAGGCCAAGACCGAAGGCTGCGCCACACCTGGCAGTGGGACACCTGCTTCCCCAGTGGGCTGAGCAACACAGACACTGCAGGTCCTGCAGTGTGCATGTGGCACTGTTCTGCCACAGCCGTCTCTCCAAGCTGACCCTGAACTTACCCTCCCTGTGGCTTTTGTGGAAAAAAAAAAAAAAAGCTTTAAAAATCAACCAATAGCTTATGGTGTCCCAAAACTTCAGAGACAGCCAAAGAGGGGAGGTTCTTCCAAAACATCTTCCATGGCCGCAGTGGATTTCTGAACCTTGTGGTACAGCCAGAGGGGAGGGAAGTCTGCCAGGGCCTGACATTTCTACACCCAGAGGCCAGAACAATAAACAGTGTGCTCAGCAGGCAGAGAGATGGCCTGGATTTGGGCTTCTCATGTTTCCATCCAAATACTGCCCTGCAAGGCCCAGCTCACAGTCTGTTTGTCTACTGTGAGCCCTGAAGCGGTCCCTGACCTCTGGGAGCCGTGCAGAGATTCCTGGGCCTGACAACAAGGTGACAGTGAATATCTCTGTGGCGCAGAGAACAGTGAAACACACTGTGAGCCAGAAACTGCTTTGAACCAATTGGAATGAACCCAAGGATGTGGGGCGGGTGGCAGCGCCCTGGAAGAGGGAATGTGTGTGTTTGAGCTCACAGCCCTGGACAGAGAGACTTGGCCCAGTCGCATTTTAGCAGCCACTTTTAAGCTTTGTCTGTATGCTGCCTTCTCTACAAGCTTTTCTGCCTCTCTGCATGTTGGTTCACTTCAGTAAAGATATGTGAACACAGACTATGTGCCAGAAGCTGTGCTGGATTCTGCAGATGCAAAGATGAGGTAGATTTCCTAGGAGAGTTTACCATCTACCAAGAGGTAAAATAGGAAATATTTTTATGGAGTTGTGAGTGGTGATTGCAGGGTATACGAGAGGTTAAGGGAGCAGTGGGGAGGAACACTAGACCCATTCTGGTCACCCAGGAAGACTCGCTGGAAAAGGGGACATCTAAACTAAGTTCAGAAATAAATAGAAGCTATTCAGATTAAGAGAGATGGGAGAGGTGTTGCCGGCTGCACAACCGGCACAAGGAAAGGCTTGATTGTGGAACACTTCGTGGTGTGTGTGAGAAGTTACAAATTTAATGTTAGTCCCATGAAACATGTTTTGTGCAAAATAGACAAAAAGAGAAAAGGCTAGAAGGACTGGCCAAGGTCAAGTCAGGAAAGATCATAAAGGGCTTGTTAGACCAAGGGGAGGAGCTTGAAATTTCTCTGTAGAAAATGAGAATTCTTTGAACAAGCTTGGTTAGGGAAGGGGTCCAAGGTGATGACTGTGCAGAAAGATCACTAGACTGCAGTGTGAAGAAGTGATTAGAGGACACAGCTAGAGTGAAAGGATCAGTGAGGAGGTCATCACGGCCATCTAGGAAAGAGCTCCGGGAGCAACAAAGGGTATGGAGGGGGATTGAGAAGACAGCCTTGACCAGACCTGGCTGTGAGGCTCAAAGGGGAGGGAAAATGGGCAGAAGATTCACAGAGGAACCCCAGAGGGATGTGGGTAGGACTTTGACAGTATCTGCTACAAAGCCCGGTCAATATCTTAGGAACGCATCACCCTCCGTTTTGCAGAATACATGGCAAGCTAAGAACAACGTGAAGACTGCCAAACTGGAGAGCCATGACTAGAGTAGTGCTGCTGAGTAAGATAATAATGGTAATTATTATTTTATTAACACTATATTCCAGGCGTTATTGCAAGTGCTTTTCATGGGAAATTTCATTTAATATTTACAACAACTCTGTGAGCTGGGACTATTACTTCATTTTACAAAGGAGGAGAAGAGGACACCAAGAATGTTAAGTGACTTGCCCAAGGTCACACAGGTACCATACGATAACTCTGGGCTTTTGAACTCTGGGGTATCAGGCTCCCATTACAATAGAGTGCCCGTAATCTTGACCACTATACTGTGTGGATGCCCAGCCACAGGTGGTGCCTAAGGTAGCTCTCATGGTATCTGGCATTCGGTCATGGGAGGCTGTTTTGGTTCAAGTTTTCTAGCAAGTGATTTGAAAGGTGGTCCCAAAAAGCATCAGCAGGAGAGAGGAGATGGGGGAGAGTGGGAGGCTGAAGGTAATAATGTAGAGTCAGGTAATAATGTAGAGGTTACCACTGTAACAACAGAGCCTTAATCCTTCTCAGAAACCTAGGCTCAGTGTACAATATATGACTCAGAGTTATCCCGCTGAAGAGGCAGGGGCCTCTGCCTGCTCCCCTCCCACATTTCCAATGAGCTGCAACAGCAGACAGAGTGCACTCTGGTGACCAGACAAAATCAACAAGAAAGCGTGCTAGGAACTGACAAGAAGCCTTTCTGGTATGTAAGTAAGCATCAAAGGGATATGGGTAGGACTTTGGCAGCATCTGCTACAAAGCCCTGTCAAGTATCTTAGGAATGTATTGCACTCTGCTTTGCAGAAGACACAGCTACGTCCATACATCTACGAAACAGAAAACTGAGAAACCATGAGCAACTACACAAACAAGATATCCTAAGTGTTTAACCAAGAGACACCCAGAATCTCTTTAAAGTAACACCATGCAATTTCTGGAGCTGCAGAACTCTAGATAAGTTCTTGTTGTACCACTGACTACAGGAGATTTTAAAAAGGAAAGGGGGTGGGGAGAGGAGAAAAACTGAAAAGATGTTTTCTCTTTTCTTTTTTCCAAAACCATGTGGACAGAGAATGTTATCCAACCCAAACTCCTTGAGTGTCCTCTAAGTAGAATCATTGTCAGTGGCTTGTACCCACTCACAGAGGCCTGATCTGGGTGTGTATGGGAGAGTGGGTGTCCCCTCTTGTACCCACTTACAGAGGCCCGATCTGGGTGTGTATGGGAGAGTGGATGCCCCCTCTGTGAAAATGCCACCCATTTTCCCATCAGCAAGATCTCCCCACAAAAACTCACCTTGAACACAACCATATAGGCACTCAGTTTCCTAGCTCAAACCAGCTCCATTTCTGAATTTCCATTAACTTCTCTAAAGAGGAAATGTAAGCCATGCTGCAGTCCAAGGTCAAGGCACACAGCCTCTTTCCTGTAGTTTGATGCAGAAACAATGGAGAAACTGCAGTAGAATTGAATGTTAATTACAGTCTTAAAGATAATTAAGGCTTAGAGGAATTAGAGGAAGTGCTTTATAATAAGATCTGCCCATTGAAATAAAATGGACAGATCCAAAATATACAGTTTTGACTCTGTGGTCAAAACCATATGAAATTATCCTCTAAAGGAACATAAAGTTATTTGAGATGGACTGCTTAAATATGGAAGGCACACAGGCAAAAATTAAGCTTTATCAAGGCTCTTATCATCACCACCATGCTGTCAGATGGGCTGTTTCCAGGACTACTCTATTCAACCTCCAGAATTTGGTCTCTCCATCCAAAATATCCAGTAGACTCTCTTGTAAAGACAAAGAAGGGTTAGGTGAGAATGACCCAATCAATACAATGCAACGCACTACATTCGATTTCTTAATGGTTACTTTTAAGCATGAATATTTGGATGAGTTCAAGCAAGCAGTGAAGATGAAATTCAAGCAAGATCTATCAGACAACCAAGTTGTCTTTTCACCTATATTCTCTGCATCCACCCCCACCCCCAAATGGAAAGACACCTGCTACCTGAGGAGTGACTGGAGATTATGTAAGGAGGAGGGAGACAGGGGATCAGAGAAGGGAGCCCTAATGCTATGGGTCGAAAGTACTTGGGAAGTCTAGGACAAAAAGTCACCCCATAGGGCCACTCTGCAGGCCTTCCACCGTGCTATTAGGCATTCCCCGGTTGGATCACTCTTTCCAAGCATTCCACTGTTCTTTGCCTCTTTAATGTTCCACTGCTTCCACAAAGAATTCCAGACCCTCTGTAAAGAAGCATCAGAGGAGCTGGTGGAATTCAGGGGAAGGGTGTACAAATGACTGGGGAGATAGGAGACTAAGGACAGCTTACTTTCAAATTCCTTTGGAATTAAAAGATTTGATACTTTGGCTTGTCTTGAATTTTCTTCCCTATCATGGATGGAATTGGGTCCTCTCAAAAGTTAATGTGTTAAAACTTTAAACCTCAATGGGATTCTTTGGAAATAGAGCCTAAAGAGATAATCAGTCTTAACTGAATTTGTAAGGGTAGAGCCTTAATCCAATATGACTGGTATTCTTATAAGATGGGACAAACCTGGGTGCATGTACACTGAAAATGGTCATGCAGGGATGGAGCAAGAGGGAAGCTGTCTGCAGTCCAAGGAGAGAGGTCTCACCAGAAGCCAATCCTGCTGACAGTTTCAGTAGCTTTAAGAACTACGAGAAATAAATTTCTGTTGTCTGTACCACTCAATCTCTTGGCTTTGTTGTGGAAGCCTGAGCAGACTAACACATACTGGCCCTGCTCTTCCCCACCACTTCCCCCAGAGACCACAGCACCACAGTACAGTCAGCTGCATCCTATTTCTCTGCCTCCACAATGAAGGGCTGTAGTAGATCCTAAGTCACAGAGCACCTGGGATTCCATCAGCTTATGAGGAATTGTTCAACTGGAAAAGAAGAAAATATGTGGCCATTGATAGGTCCAGTGCACAGAGAGGTAAAACAGAATAAAATGCCTTTATTGTGGATGTGGAGAAGACCACAAGGAAAGGGAAAAATGTGGCTTCTAAGGATCTTTTGTGGGGTCCGAGGTTAAATAGCCCCAGGCTGGAGGCGGGGTTTAGGAGGCAGACCACCTGACATGGCAGACCAGGATTGGGTGGGAGCATGGGAGAAGGGAACAGGGTATTACAAAAAGGGAAGTAGGAAGTCGTAATTTGACTCAGCAGAAAAGGGTGGGGCTTAGTACATGGCCCCTAGTGGGCAGCACCCTATTGGCTGGATGCCATAGTGACTCAGCACCATACCACATGACCTCCAGCGCCATATTGGCTGGCTGCCATCGCAGCTCAGCAGGAATTACAGCGGGGCAAGAAACCAATCAGCCATATGCTCTGAATGGGAAATACAGCTCTCAGCTCACGTAGCACAGGGGATTCTGCTGAGTTTTAAAGCACTGTTTATGCACTTTCCAGACTATTTTTCACTTACTGCATTTACACTGAACACCTGTTAGGTGTCAAGAATGGTATCAGGTACTGATTCTTCCGTTGCCACGCATCCCTATCCTACCCTTGGTCCAAGTCAAATGCGATTGTAAACTTTTATTCACCCCATTTTTCTCTGTTCTGTTTATCACACACACTCTTTCCCTGGAGCCAGGCAATTTTACTTAACAGACAAAGATGACAATACTATGGAATATTTGTGAGAAAGAAATCAGATAAGATATATAAAAAGTTTCATACATTTTGATTCACAGAAAGTATCCAACTAGCTCTCTGAACAGTCAGCACATGACCTGTTGCCCTTTCCAAGCCTCACGTGCAACAGAGATGTGGGAACGCCTGCTCCATGCTATCTTATACCCAGATAAGAAGAAACAGGTTCTGACTTTCTTTCTTCTGTAGAAACAGGTTCTGACTTTCCTTGTGTCTTGGTTACTTTTCTCTCATTGCTGGGACAAAATACCTGACGCCCAAAATTAAGGAAGGAAAGGTTTATTTCGCTTACAGTTTGTGGAGGTTTTAGTCCATACTTGGCAGGTTACAAGGCAGAGTGGCACATGGCAGAGGGCTACAGCTCATGGCGGCAGAACACAGCAAAGCAACAAGCACAAAAGCCAGGAAATGGCCCCAAGCAGCCTCTTGCTCTCCCTTACATATGCAAACTATCCACCACAGGGCGGGTGTAGCTCTCACACCCATAATCAATCAAACTCTAAAAGCCTGCCCCATGACCACATGAGGCTTTGGGGGGGACACCCAGACACAAACCATAACACCTTGAAGCAGAAGTGTGCAGAGTTAGTATCTCATCCCTTTGAAGTTAGATGTGACCATGTGAAGAGCTGCTGGCCAGTGAGATGTAAGAAAAAGTATGGCATCAAACTTCCAGAAAGACTACTGTTTTTCCTTGAAAGCATTTTACTTTAGATTGAAAAATGAACAGCTTCTACACTGTTCATTGCAAGACACACAGTATTCATGAATATAGCGCTAGTCATTTAAGGACTTGTATATACACCTCAATTTCTCCTTCACGCTTTTTCTTTTAGAAAGATACTGTTTACCAAAAAGAAACTTCAGCAGTACAGGAAAAAATATGTTCCCAATAAATTTATGAAAACCTAAGATTCCCAACAGAATCAATATTATTTTCCTGCTACCACCACCTTAGTATAACCCCATGTTTATTAGAACACTAATATTTACACCCCAAGAGTACATACTTCAACAGTAATGGTGACTCTTAAAAAACAAAAAAGCAAAAAACTTCATTGTGGTAAATGTAATCTCTGCAAGTATTTTAACTGTCTGAAATAGGTAACTAATACTGGATTTAATATTATTTTATAAATAATTGTTTCCTTAGCAGTAAACATAAGTCCACACATTCACAGTAGTCTTACAAAATAAATACTGTGATTATTCACAATATGTTATGACAAACTAGTTTCAAAAAACAAAAGCTCAACATCTTGATAAAAATTCTGATCTGAATAAAATGCAACTCTAAAATTTAAAATTTCAGAAAGGCTACTTTAAAAGACCTAATTTTACCGAGAAATGAGCCCTTAGTTTTTCTCCCTGTCTTCCTTCCTATGGCTCACTGGGTGTCATTATGGGATATTATTTGGGATGTTATACGTATATGGGAGATCCCATAATTTGGGTGTCACTACTGGATCTCAAGCAGCCGTTTTGGACAGTGAAGTACTAAGAGAATTAAAAAAATGTTGAGGGTGGCAACAAGAGTGAGGAAGTTATTCTGAGTTCCCGATTACTCTAAGGAGACTCCAGACTAGCCCCAGGCTGTCTTTCTCTGAGCTTCATTTACAGGAAAGAATAAACCCTCTGTGTTTTAACCACTGTTATTTGGGGCTTTATATTGTAAACAGTCTTAACTTTATCTCTCAAATGCTGAAGATAATAATGCCTCATGGAATTTTTTTCAGGATGAAATCAGATAATATATGAAAAGAACTTAGTATATTCTGATTCACAGAACTCAGCTAAAGGTAGCTACAGTGATTGATAGTGATCATTAATGTTTCTTTGATTCACTGAAGAAGAAAAAGAGGGATTGATTCTTCGTCAGATCTGTCCGTTATCAGGAGTTTTCTACTTTCTCACTTTGGCTCCAGTGCTTTAGCATCTCCAGCATTTTGCCCTGATGACAGTGCCCAGCCCCAGTGGCTTACTCAGTCTGCTAATGCCAACACTGTCTTGGTTCTTTCTTACTCATTCTGTGCTGAGTTCGTGTACATCTCTACTCCCCTTGACACTGGTGCTCTCCCTGTCTGACTCCCACCATCATGCCCTCCTCAGACCTCTCAGGATCACCACACCCACCTTTTGTTTGTGCAGGGATCACTGCCACTTCAGAACCTCTTCTTCAAGTTTAACTTTTCTCAAATACATGCACAACTACAGTTTAGCTCCAGTGGCTAAGGCTAGGATGCACCTAACTCCTTTCTGATAGTGATTTTCGATGTGAGATTTTTTTTTGTTGTTGTAAAATCTAGTTCCTTCTATGTAGCAGACACCCACTGCTTCCGAGAGGCAGCCACAGGCACAGGGCACTGGTTCCTACTTTTTTGCCTGTGCGCATGCCATGGCTCCTCATGGGAAGGCTCCCTTTGCTCCTTTCTGGCCATACTGTTATAAGCAGCTGAGCTAGATAGAAATATTATAGGTAGTCAGACAATATTATAGCCTGGCCCTCCAAGGAGCCCAAAAGAAAGATACATATTTGCTGTGGGCCAGACCTCAAGACAAAGGACTAAACAAATGCACCCACCTACCCCCTAGGGATGGACATCAGGGATTGATATTCTAAATAAGTAGCTATCGCCTTGAAGAGTCCCTGACCCAACCCCGTACAGGAAAAGCCCCTGCTTTCACGCCCGCTTACTATGTGACTCGTGTCCCCGTTTGATCCCAACTTAATCAGTTTTACCTGAACAATTCTTACTGGCTGACCATAGTTTTGTCCATTTTTCTACTACCCTGGACCCACCTCACCTCATGGTTTTGCTCTATAAAAGTCCCTAGAAAATACAGAGTCTTGGGGTAACCCACTTGGGCCCCACTTCTGTCCCTCTCTTGGGCAGAAGCTTTCTTTCCCTCAATATATTCTGCTCTTAACCTCTGTCGTTCCTAAAGTTCATTCTTCAATTTTAGAGAACACGAACTTGTCCCAGATATCATTCAGGTTGGGAGATTTTACTTTCCTGTATCAATATGAGCTTGTGGTTTCCTTCCTTTATATTCTTCTACATTTTTAAAATTGTCTACTGGTGCACAACTTGCTTTTCTATACATTTTAGAGAGGTGATGTCAGTTTTTCCTAATATCCATATGTCCTCTCAGGCTTGGCTCCCAGAGGTCTTCCCTGACCCCCCAGAGTCTATGCCTCCTTTTGTCCTGGTTCTCACTGCAAGGAAAGGCAGTTCACCCTGAGATGCTTTGTATTGTTCTCCAGTAAGGGAATGTTTGGGCCCCTCATCTGCACTAAAAATAAGTCCACAAATTCTCACCCCTGAAAGAAGTGGAGCCTACTTTTCCTTGAACATGGGCTGTACTGAATGATTTGCTTCTAGGTGATGGCAGTGAAGTCCTGTGGCTTCTAAGGACCGGTGGCTTTCTTCCCTCTTTCTCTCTCGCTCTCACACTCCACTCCCTCCCTCCCTACTTCCTCCTCTTTTACTCTAGGGAAGCCAGCTGTGGTGTCAGGAGGGCACCCAAACAGCTCTTTGCAGATGCTAATATGGGGAGGAACTGAAGCTCTTGCCAATAAACACCAAGTAGCTGAGGTCTACCAACAATGGCGTAAGTCACATTCTAGAGAATAAAAGAAATTTAAGAACCAAGCTTTCTAATGAGAAATCGAAAACATTTTTGCCATCTTGACAGTAGATCCTGCAGCCCCAGTCAGGTCTCCTGGTATCTTCATGGAAGCCTCACAAGAGACTCTGAACTAGAAATACCTGCTGAGCAGCTCTTAGATCTCTGGTCCTCAGAAACTGTGGGAGGTAATAACATTTTTATTATTTGAAGCCACTGAGGTTTAGGGTTGTACCACAGAGAGCCCATAAGCTCATTGAGGACCACTTTGTGGCATCTTTCACAGTGACTTGTACAGGGTTGCTCGCCTGACAGACATATGTTAAATAATTATCAGACAGTGCTTTGACTGGGCAAAACTGCCCAGGAAATAACAGACTAAATAGACAGAGCTTTGAACAGGCTACAGCTTAGACATTCTGGGTAGTAAAGAGAATATAAAATGGTGAACTAAGGACAAAATGTGATATAATGGCGTATTAGTTTTCTATGGCAGCTATAAAAAGTTACCACAAACTTGGTTACTTCAAATAATAGATTCAGTCTGCTATACTTCTGGAAGACAGAAGTTGAAAATCAGTTTCACTGACCTAAAGTCAAGGTGTTAGCAAAGCTGGGGCTCCAGAGAAGGATCTCTTTCCTTGTCTTTCTGATATTCCTTGGCTTGTGGCTACTTCTTCCACCTTCAAAGCCAGCAGGTTGATATCTTCAAGTCTCTGCTACTATACCCACACCACCATTTCTCTTATAAGGGTGCTTGTAATAACATCTATCTCATCTGAATAATCGAGGATAATGTCTTTATCTCAAACTCTAAAACGCATCATGTCTACAAAATCCCTTTTACTATGTAAGGTAGCATTCACAGATCCCGGAACTGGGATGTTGGCGTATTTGTGGGACCTTTACTCAGCCTACTTCCGGCAGAAAAGTCCCGGTTCTAGGGTCTGACAGATTTGAATTCAGGTGTTCTGATTAGTACTTGTGTGGTGCTGAAAAAATAACATTAAACTAAGCCAAGGTTTTCTTATCTCCATAACAAAGATAATAAAATTTATTAAATGAATACTACTGATATATACAAGGACCTGCCACTTAGTGATTTCTAAAGAAATGTTAGCTCTTTTCTTCCTTTCTTGTATGACTAGCAGGGAAGAAACAGACCTGAGCTAGAAAGAAAGCTTTGTAACTAGTTTTATATAGCATTCATCATTTACAAGGCAGTTTTATATTTATTATCTAATATAACTATTAGCCTTATTTTACTGAATGGGAAAAACAGAGAGGCACAAAGATGTTATTATCCGCCAAAATCAGCCTGCTAGTAAGTGTCAGAATTGAGTTTTCCGACACTAAATCCTAAACAGTTTTCTTTTATACCACATGCATTTAGGTAGGCTGAAGTCATAACAGCTACCAAACAAACTAAATGAAATGAGAGAAGAACATCAAAACAGTGCCGTATGAATGAGTACAGAGCTGGTGCACAAGACCTTCAAGGGGATGGAAAGGAAAAGCAATTTGAGGAGCTAGTGCTGCTTAAAGCAGGCCCAGGTGGGCTGGCAGGAGACAGGAAGAGGGCAGACCTGCCTTCACTGTGGTGTAAACCTCTCTAATTCTCCTCCTTTCACAAAGGTGCACAGAAGTAGTGCTGAGACTTATCTTTGACCTTTGGTACCAAGCCAGCTTGGAGATGTGGCTAATCAGTTTGGCTCACCTGATGGGGCCCCATCACAGGAGTCAAATGCCAATCTGGATGGTATTGGGAGGGAGCTGTATGGCCTCATGCTGTGCCACAGCCTGGAGTGTCCTCCTTGGTCATCTGCCAGAATGAAGCCAGACTCAGAAGGTGGAAGAGCGTGCTGGGGGCTGAGTTTCACCCTAGACTGGCAGTGAGGGGACATGTCTGTCTGTTCACCAATGACAAAATAAAATCAATTTAAAAAAAAAACCCACATCATATTTAGCCTTCAAAGTCTGCAAATCTAGATGTGTTAATCTACACTCTTTAATCTACATTTTCTCACTTGTCTTCATAATATCATGCTTATTTTATAGAAAAAGAAATGGATGCCATGAAAGAGTGACCATTATTGGATGTTCAATATGCACTACTGAGGAGGGCTTCCAACATTATGTAAATGTAAGCACCCAACTTTCTCTGAGAGGTAGGTTTCCATACCTCCAGATGGAGGACTTAAAAGCTCAGAGATGTTAAGTAGTTTGCCCAAGGTAGACACCAGTTGACAAATCAAAATTCAAACATAAGGAGGCAAAGTATTTTCTAGCGGAAGATCTTAAATGAGAATGCCTAGCACCTAGAAAACACTTTGAAAGCAGTGTTGTTGACTATGATTGGTATTCTTAGAAAGGCTTTGGTCCAGTCCTTATCTAAGTGTCAACTGCACCATCTTGCTGCTTTAGGCAACTCTTTGCTTTAGAGTTAGGTGAAGACATTGCTGACTCCAAGCTCTTCTCCATTAAAAAGTACCTGTTATGACTTGTGTCTAGATGTCCCCCCAAAAACTCATGCAGTAATAGGTGGGGCCTCTCAGAGGTGGCTGGATTTAAAGTGTGTGATTCTAAGATTAAGGGTGTGTGTATCACTGAGTGCTTTACTGGAGAAACAGATATAACACAGGATGTACAAATATAAAAGAAATTACAAGATCAGCTTATGATAGTCAGCCAGAGTTGGATAGGAAGTGTGCAGAGGATGTCTGCCCACTGGAGACCGAAGGTTTCAGTCCAAGGTCTGGAGTTCACTGAAGTGTCCATGCAAGTCCATATCAAGAGGCCGGTGGGTCTACAACAGAAGCTGAAGAGTCTGCACTGGAAGCCAGGTGATGATGTCCAAACTAACCACGAAGACTGGAGCTCCTTCGAAGAACAGAAGCAGATCCATTCTTCCTCATTTCCCCTTTATGCTATCCAGGCAATGAGCTGTCTTAGGGTATAACACTGCTGAGCTGATTTAGGTTAAGCTTCCAGGCTTCTCCAGTTGACACAATCAACCAACCATTACAGTGTATAATTACTAAATTGGCCCGCTGATTGGTTGGCGTAGTTGTGGCAGTGGATAGGATATAATGAACAGAAAGAGGGCTGCTGTGGTTGCTGCTTGTCGCTTGTTACTGGCTGCTTTTGCTGCCTTCTGCCTGTGTGAATGTTTCTCCCCTGTGATGCTCCTCTGCCATGCCACCCTGCATTGCAGCCAACTGATTATGGACTGAAACCTCTACAAACTGTGAGTCAAATAAGCCTTTCCTCCTCTAACTTTCAGTTTAGGGTATTTTGTCTCAGCAATGTGAAAAGTAACTAAGACACTGGCCTTACTCCTATGGGAAGAAATGAATGAACTGCGTTCTTACTACCATCACACCATAGCATTAACCACTTTTCAGAAGGAACATCCCCCAGGAGGGATGGAGGCTATTCCCCTCCAGCTACTAGAGAATTTGACAAGCTCAGGGTGCAGCATGGAACGGTATGCAGGGTCTGCCTTTATGAAAGAAGCCTCACATAATTAGAGACTGGAGTGCCTCATATAACTATTACTCCCCTGAGGCCACCCCCACAGAAGACATGATAGCTTTTTCTGTATTATGGTCACAGCTGCCTTTGGAGCCTCCTCAGGCACCATGGATGTCCACTCATAGAACAAATATACGTAAACACCCCAAAGTCTCCTCCTGCCACAACAGACTCACAAGCTATGAAGATCAGGCCCAGAAGAGAAAACTGGGCCGCCCTCCTCTGACCAGTAGGCATCACACCTGAATGGATAAAAGGTTGATGGTGTTCAGGAACCGTGGCAGATGGCAAAACTTTAGGTGTTGCAGGGTCGACCACACATGGTCAGCATGTGAGGGAAGCCTGGGAGAAAATGAGAACAAGAACACTGAGAGGAAGTACAGGCTGACTGTGGCCAGAGCCCAAAGAACACCCAATTTGCAAAAAAGGAAAGGAGAAGAGGAGGAAAGAGGCAAAATCAGAGTGATCTGCATTGCAGGATGTCCCCCTAGAGCTTCGGGGCTAAGGCTACCATCAATGACGTGCCTCAGATGAGCAAGAGCAGCTGTTCAATTCATGTCTTCCTTGGCTAGTGGAAAGAGGCTGGGTCATTTCTAAAAATTCCACCCTGGTCAGCTGATCAGATGAGAGCTGAGTCAGCCCTGTAATCAGGGCCCTTGCCATGGCACTGAACTGCACCCTGCCCATCCAGCTGAGAGAATGGCGAGAGCCTTTTCTGTAGCCATGTCGGTCCTGGTATTTCATTTGGTCTCTCTGGGGAAGAAGGCCAAGAATCTTCCTCAGAGCTGGAGGGTGAGGGCTGAGTGTCACTGAGTGGCCTTGCTTGCTTTTCTAGTGTCCTAGTACCTGATCAAAATGCACATCTGAAAAAAAATAGTCTTGGATAAAGTACAGAAAATTAAGTCAACTTTCCAAAGGCTCTCTGAGCATGGGAGCTCGATCTCCTGTGACAACTGACTTCATTCTTTCTCAGCATAGACACACTTACAGTTGGTGGACAGATCCAGCCATCCTTCAAATGGGTCCACATGGGGACAGGAGTCTCGTGGCTTCATGATGACCTCCTAGAATGATTTTTCCCCTTCTGGTTTACTTCTATTTCAGTGTAAAGAAACAGCTCCCTCTTGGTTTCTCTCCCATTAAGTTTAACTTTAAAAAAAAACTTCCTAAAATATAGAATCAGAATACTTGTCATGGCCTAGAAAACAAGCCCAAGTCATAGCAGTGGCCTGTGATGTCCTGACTCCGGATGCCTGAGCCACAGATGGCGGGGACTGGCACGTGGCACTGTGTGTGGGAGTGGTGGGGAAAGGCAAGTGTAACCAGATGGGGACTCAGGTGGGAGAAGGCGGGCACAGAGAATAAACCCAGGCCAAAGTCCTGAGTGTTAAGGTGAGGGATAACCCCAATGATTTCTTCCTGCTCTGTTTCTCTGGAGAAGATAGAAATCCTCAGGCTGCTGCTCAGGGGCCCCACTTCCCCATAATACAAAATCCCACTCCCTGAGGAGATGATTGGGTCCCTAAAGTGTGGAAGACAGAGTTACGGTTGGAAGAGATAGGTTTTAGGGCAGGCAGAGTAAATCAAACTCAGGCCTCCACTGACAGGCTGAGCGACCAGGAGCAAATTGTTCAATTTCTTTATGTCTCCTTTTCTTCCTCTGAAAAAGGAGGGTGATGATATACACCCCAGAGGCTTGTTTGTTTAGGATAACCAAAGTTTATGAGTACATGGAAAAATGACCAGAGAAGGGCCTGTCCCATAGGTACTCAATAAAGTTTCTGTTTCACTACCCTTTTGTGAGGGTAGGGTCAGGAAGAGGGCCTGGAGGCTAGCCTCCGAGCAGGGTCTGCCACTGGAGGGGGCATGGCCCACAGGGGCCAGGGCAGAGACCCAACCCTGATGCAAGGACAACCTAGAGCAATGCTGGTCATTGGTTGGGTTCTGTTGGCATAGAGCCCCCAAGTCATCCACGAAGGCAGCCACAATTATGAGATATATAACATTTTACAAACTTCTAAGCACCTTCACCTCCATCTTTACAGTTAGCTTTACTCTACCCTTTGAAGTGGGTAAAACAGTTGTGTGTTTTATCTTTTTCATTTTAAAGATGAGAAAGTCAAGGTTTTAGCAGTTCATACAACTTGCCCAAGGTCACAGAGCTAGTAAGATACAGAACTGGGGTCTGAACCCATTTCCCTGGCCCCTAGTCTGGTGATTATGCTATGACTTCCTACTAATGAGTATCTTTTTGCCAAGGCAGGACCTGAGGTTGAGGATGAGCAGATAAGAACCCATCTAAGGTCAACCACCGCCTCTTGGTTGGGAGCTGACCTCTCTGGAGTGGCTTATTCATTTAGTGCTATCTTGACCCTTTCAATTAGCTGCCGGACTGAGCCAGGCCCGGGGGAGATGGACAGCGGGTCTTAATGGAAACGGGGATGCTGGTGACGATATGAACAATCTGAATTATGGTCTCAATTTGCACAAAGCCTGATGGATTTGCAATAACTCCAAACCAGGTCAAGTGTCTATGTCTCCTCTTTTGCTGATTTTACACAAAATCTCTCCATTTGTCAAGCTCTGACTCCTTCTGAGTAGCCGCTGGCCACCTCTTCCTCCCTACATTAGCAATGTTCTCTGCTGCTCCCTTCACAGCACTGTGTCCCAGGGAACCTCTGCAACAGGGCCCCACAGGAACTGAGGCTGCTACGGCACAGGATATTAGGAGCTCTGAGACCATCCAGAATCAGACAGTGCACACCAAACTGAATAAAAAGGCAACTATCCGCTGTCCAAGGGCCTCATCCTGTGGCTGTTTTTGAGTCATGGTTATGTATCTGTGATAGTTAACTGTGTCAACTTGAGTAAGAAACATCCAACTAAATTGAATCAATATAGTTTTGAGTGTGGCTGAGGGGATTAACTGAAGACAGAAGACCCACCTTAGAGCAGCTTGTCACCTGAATTGTATAAAGGAGCAGTGAAGAAGGAAGGCATTCTTCTGTTTCTTTGGAGGAGCTCCAGTCTTCACTTTCAACTTGGACATCACTTCCTGTCTTCCAGCACAGACTCTTCACCTCCAGCACAAATCCTTCAACTTTCTGGTGTACAGCCTTCAGCCTTCCATCACTGATCCTTTGGCCTCCTGGTCCTGACTCATACAGGACACTACAGTGAGCTCCAGGCCTTCAACTGGATCCTTTGGACCTCCAGTGCACAGACAGACCTTCTGCATGCTACCACACCCTCTCTGTGGTACCCACGGTAAGCTAGTCTTATAAATTCTTATATATTTGTATATCTTAAAGTAAACCTGTTCCTCTGTATGCACTGACACAAACCCTGACCCAATGGGTTTGTTGTCAAGTAGTTCCTTTAGAAATGTCTTGCCGGTCAAAAGTGTTCCAGGTCCTTTATAGCTCAAACAAAGACTTGGGTGAGACAAGTCAAAAACAATGCCAAAAGTTTATTTGAAAATTGTGGGGTGAAGGAGTAAGGGAAAAACTAGCTCTGCAGAGCAAATCTGGGCCAAAGAAAGACAGGAAAGGATAAAAGCAAAAATAAAAGTGTATTCTGTGTCTAGAAGATTCAGAGTGGTCTACCGCAAAGATTCACAATAGCAGGCTCCTCGGCCATCTCATCTCTTTTATTCCATCCACATCTCATGGGAGTCCATGAGAAGTTCCACATAACAGGATCATGGAAATTATCTGGCATTCTGTTTGGATCTTGTCATTGACAGGCCAAACTTTGTTCCAGCCAGGTTTGCCATGCTTCCTGTCCTATATCGGGTCCATCAGACATAGAGGTCTTATGGCTATAATTAATGGATTTTGGTATACAGATTGCTCTTCCTGTTCAAAAACAGCAGATGAGGTTGGAACAGTAGTCTTTTGGGCAGAGGAAATGGATCAAATCTAAGCTCTCACCTCACTAGTTGAATGACCATGAACAAGTTGCTTAATTTACTTATGCTTCTTTCCATTCCTTTTAAAATAAGGATGATGATATTCACCTGTATTAGTCAATTGTTCATTGATAGAACAAAATACAGTGGTACCTTGGCTCATAAACTTAATTTCTTCCACAATTCTGAAAAAGATGGCCACAGTCATGTTTGTCATCTGATGCAAAGTGCACAAACAAAAACAAAATTTTGCCAAACACTTGTTTGTGAACCAAACTGTTCACAAAAAAAAAGCATTCATGAACTGAGGAGGTACCACTGTACCTGACACAGAAAAACTAAGAGGAAAGGTTTATTTGGGCTCATGGTTTCAGAGGCTTTGAGTCCATCATCAGCTGGCTTCAAGGCAGAAACATCATAGGGAACAGCATCATGGAGCAAAGTTGATCAACTCATGGTGGCTGGGAAGCAGAGAGATTGGGTGGAAAACACTGGTGAGATCTGATAGAGTTACCACATTCAATGTGCATATCTTATACTAGCCTGGCCAAAGTACTGGAAAGGACCTGTGTGGGCCACTGGCGCAAACTCCTACCTGATTTGCACCTTTGTTTCACAAGTTCCCTAGCAAGTGACCATTCTGCTTGGCTTGAGTGACTTTGAGGCCAGGACAGCAGTGACTTTATAGGGTAATCCATGCCAGCTTTAGGTTGCCGTTATTGTTCAAATGTTTTTCTTTCCACTGAGGAAAAAAAAAGTATCTCCTTATACCTCCCATCCTCTCTATTATCTATAGAAAATAAAAGCTAAGAAAGTAATTGTTTATTAACTTCCTTTTTGTGTGCTTTGCTTAGGAACTTATTGCAGCATCTCTCTCTTCTGAAGGGAGATAATCCTTGGGCTACTCTACAGTACTTGGCTAGGGAACAAAAACTCAATTCATTTGGCCCACACTAGGAGCCTTGAGCACTAGCTTCTGCCACTCTATGTGGCATCTTGGGCAAGTCTGTCCAAGGTCTTGTCTTCCCTCTTAACTCCTGGTGTGAATCAATTTATATAAATTGCTGGATAATCCACAATTTCTCTTTCTCACCTTTCTATCTTAAGGAGTAAGTCCATTATGATCTTCATTGTATGGATGAAGAGAAGTTAAGTAACTTGACAAAGATGGGGTAACTGATGGAAAGATGGCAATAATGCATTTTCAGCTCAAGTTTGTCTTGGTCCCAAAATATGCTCTTAAGTTTTATGCAAAGATCCAATACAGTCTCAAAGAGCCTAAAATCTAATAGCGAAGGGGAAAACCAAAACCTGCAGGATAATGAAGCAAAGCTGCACAGAAGATGCTACTCTGTGCTGTGAACATGGCCAATGCCTTGATGAGAGATGAGAGAGCAGTGTGGGCCAAATGAAGGAAGGAAGGTGTCTTACAGTGATCCTTGGAGGACAGGGAGACTGAGGCCAGAGCATAGATGTGTTTAGTGAGTACTGAGCAGACCGGAGATGTAGAAGAGTGACTTAGAGTATGGAAAGCAAAAGGTCTGGAAAGGATGCTTAGATACATTATAAAGGGCCTTGAACGCCATGGTAAGGAATGCAAAGTTTATCTTATGTTCAGTTTGGAAGAAGGGCTTTCCAGCTGGAAAAAGCACAGAAGCAAGACTGATTATGGTGTGTGGGATGGAGAGCTCCTGGCCACCTGGAATCCATGACCTCCTTGACACTCAGCATGCCTTGTGCCGCTATGGATCTCAGTTGAGTATACGAACCAGAATATAGAGCTTTAGTAGATAAAGAGACTCATTAACACTTCCCATCTCCTGGGCAACAGGAAGTTGGAAGAGAGGAAAAAAGAGAACAAAGGCAGGCTTTGGTGTGACAGAAGGCAAGGAGGTACAACAAGCCAAGCCCTCAGTCCTCTGAAGGCTCTGGATGAGCTCAGCTGAACTCACCAGAATGCATTGTGGGGTGTAAATGACCCCAGCCTGGGGAGTTGGGAAAATTGCTGGTCAAGACATCATGACCAGGGTCGGGGGTGTAGCTCAGTGGCACAGCGCCTGCCTGGCAAGTGCGAAGCCCTGAGTTCAATCCTGGTACCAAAAAAAAAGACATCATGACCAACTTACTCCTGAGCACTGCTCCTTGGGTAGGTGCTCTATATGAGCTTAGAAAATCTCTTCTCATGGAACCTGAGATGGGTGCAGCCAAGCCAACTGTAGCTTGTGTTTAGCTACTGAAAGGGCGAGGCTGGTGAAAGTGGGAGCTGTGTTTCCACAGCTTGGCTTCTCTTCTGGCAGGATCTGAGGGTGGCAGTGAACTGAGCAGCAGGTGTGGCAGCTGCTGCAGGCAGGCAGCCTCAGCTGACCCAACAGGAAATATCACACACTGGCTCCAGAGATGGTTCTGAGATAAAGGCCAGGGAGCCCCATGTTTTGGCTGTCCTAGCAGCACTGTGCCTCGTGATGCAAAAGCAGATGACATGTTCAGTCTGGGAAGAAACAAGTAAGACCTGGGAAGTGGGGTGGGAAGAAGTCACAAGACTGAAGGAAATCCCAGCTCAGCAGCAGCTAAGCGCTGTAGGAAGACACTGATCAGTCATTCCTTGGAAAGATCAGAAAGTCACTGTTTTTTCTGACCAGAAGAGTGGGACATAAGCACCTGAAATCATTTGTTCAACACTTCACAATTTATAAAAGGCTTTTGACTTGCATTGCCCCACTTGGTCACCACCATAGCCCACTGAAGTAGATTAAACAGATGTTACTTTACATTTTATAAGATGAGAAAAATGGCTCAGTAAAGGCTGTATCTTGCCCAAGTTACATACTTCATGAGCAGCAGTGTGGAGATTCCCCCAGTACTTTTCTCTTCACAGCCCTTGATTCTATACAAAACCATGTGACCTACTCTACAGTGACTATTGGGTTTGCAAGACAAAAGAGAAATGGTAAAAATAAGAATCCCAACTTGTCACTATGGGAGTACACTGATCTTACATAAGAAACTGTTAAATAGTTTCAGTGTAGGTTACTCTCTTAGGTCCCAGAAAGGAAGAGACTCAGATCTAAAGGTGAACTGAGATACACTAAATATATTGCATGGGCTATGTATGGTGTATATCCTCATTAACATTCATTATTCATCCATTCATTCTACAAATGTTTCTCTAAGTTAGGCACTCTGCCAGTCATAGGAACACAATGAGAAACACAGATGACATAGCTCCTACTCTCACAGAATTTTAATCCTAGTAAAGATCACAAAAATAGGTAAATAGCCAAAAAAAATTAAAACTCTGCATTATGCTAAGTACAATGAAGGAAAGAAATTAAGGACTAAAGTAGAACCTCAAGAGAAAGAGGATATGTTCTTGAGATGCTGTGGATAAGGATGACCCCTGAGAAGAGGTCTCACTGGAAAAGTGAAAAGAAAGCTGCTATGTAATGAAACCATGGAACACAATTCTGGGCCAATCATATGGCCAAAACCACAGGAGGGGGGATCTATGGAGTATTTAAATAAGGCCTGAGTCTCTGGAACAAGCCGCATGGGGATGTGGAACCTAGAAAAGGGGAAGATCATAGACCAGACCATTGTACCAGCCAGGGAAAGAGCTGGCTTTCATCTCATTGAGAGGTTTTATGCAGGCAGGTGATGTGATTTAATATATCTTCTTAAAAGGTCATCTGTATTGCTGTTGTTGGATTGGATAGGTTGGGGTTAGACAAAGGAAAGAGTGAGGAATAGCTTCTGGAATTCTGATGTAGCAGATAGGTGGGTGGCAGTGATATTTACTGAGTTACCGCAGATAAGGTGAGGACAGTTTTGAGTGAAGAGGTGGAAGTAAAGTCTTCTCTTTTGGACATATGATGACACGTCAGTGGGATATTCAGGAGAAGATGTGAAGTAGGTAGCTGGATACGTAACCTCACACTCAGACAATAGGGCTGGGCTGAGTTTATAAATCTGAGAACTGTCAGAACCTATGTGGCATTTTAAAGTCATGAGAATGAGACTCTCTGCAAAAAAGAATGTAGACAGGAGAAAGAAGAAACTTTTGGTTCAGACTCAAAGAAGTCCAGCACTTAGAGGAGGAAAATAGAGCAAAGCAAACCAGAAGGAGTGGGGAGGGGGTTAGAAAGAAAATTGGGGGTCAAGAAGTCACAGAATCCACCAGGAGTTTCAAGTTTCAAGAAAGAACTAAAATCCACAGTGTCAAATTCTGCTGAGAAATCAAGATGAGAAGTGTTTTGGCCGCCAGAAAGCTATTAGTGACCTTGAGAATTTCAGTAGCATGTGGAAGCAGTGGCCAGATGAGAATGAGTTCACTAGAAAATATGTGAGAGACTAAACAACT